GATCGATGCCGAGCCTCGTCGAAGCCCGGACACCCGAACGCCCACTGATTGCAAAATCTGCGCGCTCGCTTCTCCGTGGGGGGCCCGCAGAAGCTCCCGCTCTGCGGGCTCAATTCGGCGGCCCCCTGCGGACCCTCGCCGTGTTAAATAAACTGAAGGGGCCCCAGGACACACAAATAAATCCGCCGACCCTGTCGGCGTGTGTGAGGGGCTTCTCCGTTCGACTCGTCGTCTCCGTCGTCTCCGTTCTCCCCCTCCCAGGGCTCTCCTCCTCAAGCGCGCTATCCAAAGCCAAATTGGACGACGTCGTAGTGGAGTCGAAGGGAAGCCCTTTCCCTTTGATCCCTTCCCCGCAGGGGGGGGGGAGGGGGGGGGGCAAGCTAGGTGCGCTCGCGTCATATCTGACGTCCTACCCCTCCCTCCCATCCCTTACCATGGCGCCGATTTTCTTTATCCGCGGACGCGTGTCGTAGCGGACCTGTGGCTCCGCGTGCGCGTGCGTAGTGGGTGGTGGTGCGCGTGCGTGCGTGCGTGCGTGCGTGTGTGCGTGTTGTGGTGGTGGTGGTGTGGTGGTGGTGGTGGTGCGGCGCGGTGGTGGCGGGCGGATGGGCGCGCGAGAAAGAGGCCCGCGCTGGGGCGAGAACGCCATCCTGAACGACGGAGGCCAAACACCGACCCGAAAATGAGGCCCACGCTGCAGCGGGAGCCCGATTCGGAACGATTCGGGAGCAGAAATGATGCCGGCGCCTCAGCGAGAGCAGCATTTTGAAAATAATGCTAACGGAGTTCCCCACATAAAGATGTTACGGGGTTCCATTGCTTCTTGTCTGCGCTCTGGTGGGGCCTCCCTGAAGGGGTGGGAGGGGCACGAAACCTGATGAATAATATGGTGTGCGAATACCCTGCCCGCTCTGGTGGGGCCTCCCTGGAGGGGTGGGAGGGGCACGACACCTGATAAATAACATGGTGTGCGAATACCCTGCCCGCTCTGGTGGGGCCTCCCTGGAGGGGTGGGAGGGGCACGACACCTGATAAATAACATGGTGTGCGAATACCCTGCTCGCTCAGGCGGGGCCTCCCTGGAGGGGCGGGAACGGCACGAAACCTAATAATAAAATATGGCGTGCGAATACCCTGCCCGCTCTGGCGGGGCCTCCCTGGAGTGGCGGGAGGGGCACGAAACCTGATAAATCATGGTGTGCGAGTGCAATGCCCGCTCTGGTGGGGCCTCCCTGGAGGGGTGGGAGGGGCATGAAACCTGATAAATCATATGGTGTGCGAATACCCTGCCCGCTCTGGCGGGGCCTCCCTGGAATGTTGGGAGGGGCGCGAAACCTGATAAATAACATGGTGTGCGGATGCCCCGCCCGCTCTGGTGGGGCCTCCCTGGAGGGGTGGAGGGGCACGAAACCTAATAAATAATATGGTGTACGGATACCCTGCCCGCTCTGGTGGAGCCTCCCTGGAGGGGTGGGGGGGGCACGAAACCAGATAAATAACATGGTGTGCGAATACCCTGCTCGCTCAGGCGGGGCCTCCCTGGAGGGGTGGGAGGGGCACGAAACCTGATACATAACATGGTGTGCGAATACCTTGCTTGCTCAGGCTGGGCCTCCCTGGAGGGGTGGGAGAGGCACGAAAACTTATAAATAACATGGTGTGCGAATACCCTGCTCGCTCAGGCGGGGCCTCCCTGGAGGGGTGGGATGGGCAGGATACCTGATAAATAACATGGTGTGCGAACACCCTTCCCGCTCTGGTGGGGCCTCCCTGGAGGGGTGGGAGGGGCACGAAACCTGATAAATAGCATGGTGTGCGAATACCCTGCTCGCTCAGGCGGGGCCTCCCTGGAGGGATGGGTGGGGCAGGAAACCTGATAAATATCATGGTGTGCGAATACCCTGCTCGCTCAGGCGGGGCCTCCCTGGAGGGGTGGGAGGGGCACGAAACCTGATAAATAACATGGTGTGCGAATACCCTGCTCGCTCAGGCGGGGCCTCCCTGGAGAGGTGGGATGGGCACGAAACCTGATAAATACCATGGTGTGCGAATACCCTGCTCGCTCAGGCGGGGCCCCCCTGGAGGGGTGGGAGGGGCACGAAACCTGATAAATAACATGGTGTGCGAATACCCTGCTCGCTCAGGCGGGGCCCCTCTGGAGGGTGGGAGGGGCACGAAACCTGATAAATAACATGGTGTGCGAATACCCTGCCCGCTCAGGCGGGTCCTCCCTGGAGGGGTGGGAGGGGCACGAAACCTGATAAATAACATGGTGTGCGAATACCCTGCTCGCTAAGGCGGGGCCTCCCTGGAGAGGTGGGAGGGGCACGAAACCTGATAAATACCATGGTGTGCGAATACCCTGCTCGCTCAGGTGGGGCCTCCCTGGAGGGGTGGGAGGGGCACGAAACCTGATAAATATCATGGTGTGCGAATACCCTGCTCGCTCAGGCGGAGCCTCCCTGGAGAGGTGGGAGGGGCACGAAACCTTATAAATAACATGGTGTGCGAATACCCTGCTCGCTCAGGCGGGCCCTCCCTGGAGGGGTGGGAGAGGCGCGAAACCTGATAAATAACACGGTGTGCGAATACACTGCTCGCTCAGGCGGGGCCTCCCTGGAGGGGTGGGAGGGGCACGAAACCTGATAAATAACATGGTGTGGGGAAAGGCATGGTATGGTATGGGATGGTGGGTGCATGGTATGGTATGGTAAGGTATGGAGTGGCATGGTATTGGTATGGTATGATACAGTATGGGATGGTGGAGGAAGCGGGAGGAGGAGGAGGAGGAGGAGGAGGAGGAGGAGGAGGAGGAGGAGAGGATGTTCTGGGAAAACAAGAACCCCACTCAGGATGTGGGGAAAAAAACGAAAGCGAAAACCCGTTTCCCGGGAATCCTGTGTTAAAAAACAGTACGCGGGGGGGTCTCGGATATCTTCGGGACGCCATCAGGGGAAGTGGGATATTACTTTCGTATTGTGTAATTGTGGAGGGGGGAGGGAGGGGGGGGGCGGGGCCCGGGGCAGATACGACGCCCGCCGGGGCGCACTTTCCTCGAGAGGGCACGCACGGGATGCACTTCCTCCTCCTCCTGGTCCAACTCTTCCTCCTTTTCCTCCACCTCCTCCTCCTGCTCCTCTCCTCCTTCTCCTCCTCCTCCTCCTCCTCCTCCTCCTCCTCTTCCTCCTCCTCCTCCTCCTCTTCCCGCAGAGGCGTCCCGGGAGCGGGCCCCGAGTCAAAATACCACCCCCCTAGGGCGCATTTTCCTCGAGCGGGCACGCCCGAGATGTTCTTCTTCCTCTTCCGGGAGCACGTCCCAAGTCAGAATATCACACTCCCGGGGCGCACTTTCTTCGAGCGGGCACACAAAGGATGCACTCCCTCCTCCTCCTCCTCCTCTTCTTCCTCCTCCTCCTCCTCCTCCTCCTCCTGCTCCTCCTCCTTCTCCTCCTCCTCCTCATCCTCCTCCGCTTCCTCCCCCCACTCCTAGCCCTTTCGATCAGGGTCGGCGGCACCGGCCGTCAGGCCTCTCCAATACACACAAATAAAAAGATTCCCCATATTTTCCCATATTTTCTGGGCTTCTGTCTTCCCCCCCACTTCCCATATTTTCAAATATTTTCGGAAGAATCGAGGATTCATGGTGTCTGTGTGTTTCTTTCCCTCCTGATAAACATCGAGGGTAGATGATGACATGATGAGATGGAGGGTACGGCAGGCCCTAGGACAGTAGGATACCAGGGACACGAGACCATCCGCCGACCACACTGAAGAACATTCGCCGACACCCTCCCCCACGCTGCACAAGAACATGCAACAACAATGACGAACACTAGGGTACCCTCCCTGATCGCACGAACCGACCTTGATCTTACCCCTCGGTCCGACCGTACATGCATGCATGCTGGGAACGGCCCGTATGTAATCCGCTGGTCTGTAACGTGAAGTCAGACCTTCATGATCCTGGGGGGGATTTGGTTTGGGCATACACCTTACGTATGTTTGTGCACTCTGGCCTCGAGAGGCGATTAGTAGGCCTTGCGAGACAGCCGCGTAGAGCCTCATTTCGGAACACTCCTTTCGCATTTCGGCCTCGTAGGCCCAGAATCGCCCAGCACGCCTTGCAAGACAGCTGCGCGGGGCCTTAAGTCGGCACATCCATCCCGCACTTCGTGCTCATGGATCCCCAAAAATACTTTGCTGGCTCCCAAGATTGTATTGCCGCCAAGGGACGCCAAGATGGCCCAGAGAAAATTTGTAACGAATGGTACTGCCCCTCGTCGAAACCATGCCCCGACCACTCACTGATCTCAAACTCTGCGTGCGACTTTCCCCATGGCGACCCGCGGTGACTCCCGCTCTACTCGCCATCGCTCGGACGTCCATTCCCTGTGCTTTTTTCGGTTTCGTGCGTGGTTCTTTCGCCAAATGATCAAGGATGCTCCTCGATCGCCCTCGCCGAGGGCCGAATGCACACGTCCGAGCGATGCCAAGGGCCAGGCTGACCCCGAACTTCGGTGTGACAACTGCCCCCTTTGCGTGTTCTGCTGCGTGCCCCTGCACTTCCCTGGACAAAGGCAGCTTGCCCGGGCATCGTGCCTGGATGGGCTGGTTGGGTTTTTTTCCTCGCGGGCGCAAGCGGAAGCGCAGGCGCCGAGTTGAAAGGTCCGGGCCACGGGCCGATCAAATTAGCGACGCGCGAGCCTATGCTGGTGGGGGATGGCGAAGCGTCAGCATTCTACACCTTAGCCGCTCCAACGTGTCGCGCGGGCCCGAAAAGCTCTCAGCATGTCCCCGTGTTGAGAGAATGACTGGAGGGGCCCCGACGGGTCTCACAATGACATCATAGAACTTCCAAGGGCCTTCGAGGACCTAGGAGACGTACGTGCCTTTTTGGTGGAAGAGTCACTTTCAGAGGACTGGAGGTCTGGGTCTCGGTGGACGAGAACTGTCCGCAGCACGCTCCTGATATCTCTTCGGTTGTAGCATGACCCCCGCGCTCACTTCGTCGCTGCTGCTCCAGAGCGGACGGCTTTGACGAAGTCGGCCAGGGCTGTCTTCTGCAGCTTCCTGCCTTGAATGCCGTAGAAGTCGATGCACACCTCCTTCAGAAGCCTCCGATCGTGAGACGCGATCACCAGGCCACCCTCGAAGTCCTGTAGCGCTTTGCCGAGCGCCTCCACTGTCTGCAGGTCTAGGTGGTTTGTGGGCTCGTCCAACAGCAAGATATGCGGCGGCCTGAAGGTGATTGCGGCCAGGGCAACGCGGACCTTCTCGCCGCCGCTCAATGTATGGATCGGCTGAACCGCCTGGCGGCCCATGCCGAAGCTGCCGAGATGGCCGCGAATGTCCCCCTCCGTGGCGTCTGGGAACCGCTCCCTCATCACCTCAATGCCACTGAGCTCCAGCGGTAGGCCGTCGGCCTGGTGCTGGTTGAAGTGGGCAACAACGACGCGCGGCTGCTGGTACACCTCGCCGCCCAAGGGCTCCAGATCCTTGGTCAACACCCTCAGCAAGGTCGTCTTACCACTGCCGTTGACACCCAGCAAGGCGATGCGAGAACCCATGCGAATATCGAGATCAAACTTCGCGACGAGAGGCTGCTTCCCATCGAAGCCTACGGCAACCTCCCTGCACTGCAGCATGGCAACATCGCTGCCGAGTGGCACCGCCGACTTAACTCTCAACTTAACGTCGGCTTCCTTAGTCTCGGTGGTCATTGCGGCCTCTGCTGTGAGCTCCGTGGCGTACGAAGCCTTGAACTTCTGGCCGTTCGCGCCCTCCAGACCTACCCGATTGAAGCTCCCGCCGTCATGGCGGTTGACTCCCATCTTGGTGCGGCGCGAGGCAACCTGCTTCAGCAGGTTGTCGTTGTTCGTAGCCCTGCCCCTCTGCTCCATCTCCTTGATCTTCTTATCGGCTATCGCGCGCTTCTCGGCCACCTTGGCCGCCAGCTCGGCCCGCCCCTCCTGGTCTATCCTGTGGGCCTCTTCGAACGTGGAGTAGTTCCCCATGTGCAGGTGCAATTTCTTCTCATGGGTTCGCAAGATCATCGTGCAGACGTTATCGAGGAACGTCCGGTCGTGCGACACAACGACAACTGCAACATCCTCCATGTCCGAGGTCTGCAGGTATTTCTCCAGCCACAGCGTGGCCGCCCAGTCCAGGTGGTTCGTGGGCTCGTCCAGCAGCAGCACGTCGGGGTGGGTGAAGAGCGCCTTGGCCAGCGCGATGCGCATCCTCCAGCCGCCGCTCAGCCGCACCGTGGGGCCGCCCAGGGCCTCCTCGGTCAGCCCGAGGCCCCTCAGCAGCACCTCGGCCCGCGCCCGCAGCGCGCCCACGTCCAGCACGCGCAGCCTCTCGCGCACGTCGGCCAGCAGCCCCTGCGCCTCCAGCTCCGCGCCCGCCTCCAGCCCCCCCTCCTCGCAGGCGGCCGCGGCCTCGCGCTCCCCAGCCTCCGCCTCCAGCAGGGCCTTCCGCGCCTCCCGCCCGCGCTGGCCGCTCGACTTGCTCTCGAAGGCCGCGGCCTGCCGCAGCCTCGCGGCGACTCCGAGAGGTGTGCTTCGCAAAAGGGTGCAGTCTGCGACCCGCACCTAGGGGAGCGGGCGAGGACCTCGACAGTTCTCTCCGCCGCGCCCAGAGGCCCGGCGATGGCAACGTGGTGCCACCCAAGCCCCAACGACGCAGATCGCAAACCACACCCCGGCGAAACCACACCCTTTGCATCGGGGACGCACCAGCCCAGGCCAACGCAAACCCAGATCAGTCGGGCTTCGCAGGATCCTGCAAGCTCCTGCGGGATCCTACACGCGAGCACAGGTCAAAAGAGGAGGAGGAGGAGGAGGAGGAGGAGAAGGAGGAGGAGGATGAGGAAGAGGAGACAAGATCTGGGGCTCTGGCTGACCGCGTCTGCATCGACCCCTGCCTCAAGACTCCCGATTGCATCGCCGAGCCTCTCCCGGGCCCGCAGCAGCCGGTGCGACCGCACCGCGCGGCTGGCGCCCTCCGCGGAGCCGTCCTGGCACGGCAGCAGCGCGCGCTCCTCGGCCGCGAGCGCGACGTACTCCGCCATCCCGGAGAGCACGGTCTCCACGGGCGTGCGGTCGTCGCCGACGTCCTCCTGCGAGACGAGCAGGGTGACGCAGTTGGGCGGGTAGCCTCGGTTAGGGGGGTCCCAGCATGGTTTATGTCGGGCCTGTCCCCCATACAGGGGGCTCCTCGACGAACGACAAAACATACCCCCACAAAGAATAAAACAATAACCCAAAAATAGTCAGGGGACTATGTTTTGAGCATTGTTTGACCTTTTTTGGCCATTTTCGTGTCTTTTTTTTTTTTTTTTTGTTCTTTCATTTTTCGTCGAAAATCCCCCTGTAGGGGGACACGCCCGACAGAAAGCATGGTGCGGTGACCGACCGTGCGGTGGCCCAGGACTCCCCGACCACCTCACCGCACGGTGCGTCACCGCACGGTGCGTCACCGCACGGTCTTGGGGGCCCTGGACGTCCCAATGGTCCGAGGCGCCCTCGGAGAACGAAGAACGACCCAAGTCCCCAGACCGTGCGGTCACCCCGAAGCTCCGTAGTAGATGATCATTTCTGACAGTTATTGCTATGTGAAATGTTAAATGCAAAAATATGCTTTGAACATCTGTGTCATGGCCACTTCGTTTAACCCTTGATTGTACAGGAAAGGCTGTCTAAAGCCCTTTGACTCACCACGCAGTGGCATCGCACGGTTTCGGGGGCCCCCGAGACTCGGGGCGGCCAGCGCCAGGGTCATGGTGGCACTCGATCACCATTGGGGGGGGGGGGCGCGGGGAGGGAGCGGACTAATTCCCCTGGGCCACGGTGAATTTTTAACAACGTCGACCCCAGAGGTCTCGACCCCTTCCCCAGGACAGGTTGCTCATCCTGAGTCGCGTCTTGGCGGTCCCGAGGCCCAGTAGGCAGCACCCCCAGCGGCCGAGAATGGCGAACAACCTCCCGTCGTGATCTTTTTCCCAAGGCGAGGGGGTCTGGGGGGCTGAACGGGGAGAAAGGGGGGGGGAGAGGGGGGAGGGGTGTGAACGAGAGGCAAGGTCTCGACACGCTCTGCGATTGCGGCTGCCCGGGCGTCCCGGAATCTGCTTTTCCTCCATCGCCCGCAGGAGCGTGGACTTGCCGCAGCCGTTGCGCCCGATGAACCCGTAGCGCTGGCCAGGCATCAACTTCAAGTGTGCTCCGTCGAGCAGGGTCGTCCCGTTGACGACCATGGTCAGAGGAACAAGCCACGGCGCAAGCATAAACTTTCGGAGGCCCGCGCGGATTGCTTGGATCTGCGCTGAACCACCCTCCCTGGCGCGCGGAGCGCGCCAGGGGCGGCGCTGGAGGCGCCCCCAGCGCAAGTTCAAGAAATCCGCGCGGTCCTCCGACAGTTTGTCCCTATGCAGTGTTTCTGCTCCTCGACAATGGTCAGGTCGTGGATGTCCACCTCGGACACGGCGGAGGTGACCTCTTCGGTGGTAACTCATGGGAGCCTCTCGTGCCGTCTTGCTGGCTGTTGCGAATCGACGCTGAACGAGGCACATCGACGCTAAAGCGACGCTAATCGACGCTGATCGACGCGAACCGACGCTCAATTCGCGGTTTCTCATCGATTGCTAGACGCCAGCGCACGCGAACGCACCCTAGCAACGGAATTGTGAGGGCATAGAAGGCTCCCATGATGTGACACCGAAGACCTCGTTCTCGACGAGCTCCCTGTGGAAGCGGGAGACCTGTCAGCGACTCCTAAGGGTGTGGTTTGCAAAAAGTGTGGTTTGTGAGCCGCGCCTGGGGAGCGGGCGTGGACCTCGACAGGCACCTCTGCCGCGCCCCGTCGAGGGTTCATCAAAGCCTGGGCGCACCGTGGTGACCCCGTGAGCCCCGACGGCGCCAATCGCAAACCACACCCTGGCAGGACCACGACCTTTCCAACATGGGGGACACGGGTCCTGAGGGAAACGGGTCCTGGACCCTGGGGCCTTCCCCCAGGCCTTCATCCTAGAGCGTTTCCTGGCGGTCCCGGACCCAGTGGAGGGCCCCGGGGGCCTGAAAACGGCGAAAAGCCTCGTGACCCGTTTCCCTCAGGACCCGCTTTCCCCACGGCGAAAACCACACCCTGAGCGTAACCCGTCGTCCTTGTCGTCGCCGCCGTCGTCCTTGTCGCCACCGCCGCCGCCGCCGCCGGCGTCGTCGTCGTCGTCGTCGAACCTGCGAGGTGATCTCGACCGCGGGTCTGCCAGGCGCCTCCGCGGGCCGCCTCGCCCGGGCCCCGGCTGTCCCTCCTGTCGGCCTGCCCGCGCCTCGGCCCCTGCCTCGGCCGCCCCTGGCGGCGGCGGGAGGCTCCGCGGGGGCCTCGCCCTCCGCGGGGCCAAGCGACACGGGGCCTGGGAGGCGCTGCCGCCATGGGGGCAACAGGTCTGGAGGGAAACACGTCCGGAGGTTTTGCTCCGTGTTCGGGCCCTCGGAGCCCTCCACTGGGTCCGGGACCGTCAGAGAACGACTCGGGATGAAGATCTGGTCCCTGGGAAAAGCCCAAGGGCCCAGGACCCGTTTCGCTCAGGACCCGTTCCCCCATGCTAGGTTAGAGGACTCCCAGATGGGTTCCGATCCCGACTACTTGGACCCCGTCTGGGAGGCCCAGACCCGTTGAGGGCGGGTTCGTGCCGTAACTACCCGTGCTGCTGGTGTCTGACACCGCGCGGGTCGTCCAACCTTGAAGGATGGACCCTTCAATGCTGGCCTGGGAAGGAAGCCAACGCTGGATTCACCGCAGGTCCTGCGCGACAAGAACCTACCGCACCCTTTCTTTCTTGGCTCGGGCAGATTTGCTCTCGTGTCGCCTGCCCCCCTCCCTCACTTTAGAAGATACGGTGCCCCAGTGCGTTCAAACAACTGACTCGTGTGATGCACGGCGTTCCTTCTGTACCTCGGCGCCCTCCTTATAGATGCAAGTTGACATAGACTGCCTAAGGAGAAGTAATACTCTCTCGGTCTACAAACGAGACAACCAATAGACAACCACGGAATCACGGGACATCTCACGGGACAACCATCAAGGCAACCACAAGAAAACCACCCCATAACCAAGGAGACAACCATCGGGACAACAATCAAGACAACCACATACCAACCGCGGCACACCCATCAACCCCCGGGCACGCTCTGGCCACTGGGGAGCCAAAACCTGATAGGTCGTTTGAAAGACAGACTTTGCCCGCCGCATGCGGGTAACGCACAACACGAACTGAAACTAACATCGATTTCTGGGTTCTCCGGTTCACTTCGTTCTCACCCATTTTATACGACCTTAGAGCGCAACCGGTGGAGGACGGGAAGAGGATGAGCCATCGGGTAAGGAATGCCGAGGAGGTCCAAGAGTCACTGGGCATGGTGTCGTGTCGACTAGCTCTCTCCGAAGCTTCCAAGGATGCCCAGAAAGGCCACTCGTGCCTAAAAGATGGACCATCATTGTCTCAATAAATCCTCAACGCCTCCGAAGACAACCTCACCAGGTGCCAAAGAGGCACCCAAGACGGAAGCACAGGGCAAAACGGCCCTCCAAGAGACCCAAACAGAATTCCAACGCTAAGCGGGTTCCTCAAGATTTGAATGTTGTTACATGGGAGCTGGAAAACGTGGAAGTTGAAAAAACAGTGAAAGTGGAAGTGACCAGGGCTGGAAAAACTAGCAGTGGGTGAAGCGAGCCCGAAACAGTAGGGATGCGGTTGCCAGTGCCGGAAAGAGTGAAAGGGTTGGCCCCAGTCACATGTTTCAGCTTCTATGTAGTTTCCCGGTCCTCTCACTTCATCAAGATTCCAAGAAAATCCCTCCATGATGCCGAAGGTGCCCGATTCACGCCCACAGCAGCCCCCAAGAAGGCCCAGCACAAGGCGGCACACGGAAGGCCCAGGACCGCCCAAGCCTAAGAGGGGCCCAAGAGGCCCCCAAGACAGCTCCAAGAGACGCCCCCCGGACGGCCGAGATGGGCGAAGGAGGCTCCCAAGACGTTCCAATAGGAGACCAAGGCAGCCCCATAATCCAAGTAGGCCTCATGAGAGCCCCCAGTCAGGGATGTATACGAGAGGTGGCACATGATGTAGTCCCCTGAACGTCTTCGCACGGAGTGTTGCGCAGGCGCGGTAGCGGAACCTGCCGCAAGCAACTGGATACCGACACAGCAACATAACCGTAACCAAATTGTACGCTCACGAGGGGAAGGGAATATACAATACTGTCGACGCCGACATTTAATACAAATGACAACTACACTCGAATTTGGGGAGTCGCTATGTGTACACAGGCAATGTCATAATTTTCAACGAGCATGGCAACACGACGCTACGACACCATGCGTTCGCCGCGGGGTCCGTGGGAATCGCTTCCCCCACGCTAGCGCACAAGAGAAAACGCACGGACAGCACGAAGACGAGCAACGATTTCCCGGGCATCGGATGTGCGCACACACACACCTCTGTTGCCCCCCTCCCGGAGATATTATTGCTAGTGGTGCATGTGCGTTCCTCGGTCTCGCTTCGGGTTGCGCTACAAGCATCTAGGTCGGGCCCGTCCCCCTACAGGGGGATTTTGGACGACGACATGAAAAATAGTCTAACAATGCCCTGAGATGCTCAAAAATGGTCCATAACAAATCGTCCCCATACTCCTCCTGTGGAGGGACAAGCACGACTTCATACACGCAACGCGTATCCCCTGCATGTAGACTCTGACCCGTGCTCGCCTGCCCCCTGCGCGGGTCCGACAGCACGCTGCCTGCTCAACAGAGCCGCCTGCGTCTGGGGCGGCCGAGCCTCCGTGCGGGCAGCCCTGGCAGGCGCCAGATCCAAGAACGCGTTCAGCACTTCTGGCTTCAGGAACGGTTCGGCAATCTCCCGCCACTCGTCGGGCTCTGCGTCCTCCACCGCGGCGGCGAGGAAAGCGCAGGTCTCCTCGTCGCAGCCCTGGCCCCTGAGAAACGCAACGACTTGCTCTTCTACCATGCTTGACTGGCGAAGCGTGCAGGTCCAAAAGGTCCGATGCCGGGCGGGAG